CCCCCCAAAAAAATCCGCTCCCTATTTTAAATTTTTCTTCCCCTTTAATACCTTCTTCTCCCCCAAAAATCTTTTTTTTTTTTTTAAAAAAACCGGGGCAAAAAAGGAAAAAGGGGGGGGGGGGGGGGGGGGGGGGGGGGGGGAATAACGCATAAGAGCCTTTGATTTAACTGAGAAAAAGATTACCTTCATCTCCATCAAATCAGCGTTCCTTCTCACCAATGAGGCGATTGTTTCTTTGTCATACGAACTCAATGGCTGCCGAAAATTCTGCCAGTAAGTCACTTTTCTGATTTTAAAATATTTTATCTGACTTAATTTCTATTTCGATTAATTTAGGAGCCAAGTAGTCCCTGAACCGTGTTTTGTGCTACCCGCTGGCTGGCCGACAATGCAGTTTAATGTTGAATCCGATCGAGTACCATCACGACCATCAACACCTGCTGATCAAGGTACTTTCTAAGTATTTTAACAGCTTTTATTTATTTTTTTTTACGTTTTAGGTTTTATTTTAAACATTGTGAATTTATTTATCAATTTCAGCCGAAGAAGTGCAAAATTGATTCTGAACAGTTCCCTGTTGATGGGGATTTAGCCGCCTTCATTGGACAGTATGCACTCTTCTATTATTGGAAGGATGACAATAACAAAAAAAGCGCTATACCCTTGACCACGAGCCTAGCCGCTACTTTCCGTCAAGGCAGGAAGAAAGAACTGAAAATTGGTAATTTTAGTAGGGGTTCACTTTCATTCGCTATTTTTAGATGATCAATTCGAAATCCATTCTTGGGCTGATAAAGAGTTCAAAGTTGCAACTCGTGTTGTCAGAATCCTCGAAGACTTGGATACCATAGTATTGCAATCGAACGTGAAGTTGTGCAATGTGGATCATATCATCGACTCAGCCATTCCTAAAAAAGGAATGAGGTATCTGCTGGTGAATTGTTATCAAATAATGTGTTTTCAAAATTATTTTTTGAAAATTACTCATTTTTCAGATGGGATTCTCCATTTACCATGGGCTGACAAATCATCAGTCTTTCTCGACCGGAATAATTGCGAGCAGTGTGCGAGCAAATTACCGTTACACTGGAACAAGCGGTTCGTTTAACTGGCACATCCAGCATTAACCTTCTTCAGATGACTCATTTGACATTTTTTTTCTGAATACTCTATACCCTCTGTTCTTCTGCCTCTTCTTCATTCATATATACCAACCGCTCTAAATGCCTGCATTATGACTTAATGAAAACTTTTGTTGTTGCCTTAGACCCTTATGTTGTATTACAATGGCTCACGTGAAGATTCACGTAAATCGCAATC